TATGACTAGATATATATAATTCACTGTCAAGCCATGTGGGACAAACATTACTGTTACTATCACAACTCTAATACTTCTCAGGAATGATAATCTCATATTTTCTTTATTTGCTTAGGTTTCTGTGTAATTATTAACTTAACCTCAGGTTCTCTTCCAGTTGGTTACATATCCTCTCAATGCCCAATGGTTGAAATGAAGGAATTTATTACTCTCACTTAACATGAAATGTGAAGGCAGACTATTTCAGTTGGTTTAATGGCTCAGTGATATTGTGTTTTCTATCAATTTCCTGTTTTTGAAGACATAGCTCCCTGACACTTCTGATCTGCTTCTGTCTAGAGAGGATTGTTCTCTGATTGTGCTACATAGCTTCTGTCCTGGGCTCTCCTTTCACTACTATCCTGAAGGTTATTTTGCTTTGTTCTTGAGTTGATTTTCTTGCTTGCTGAATCCCAAGGTTCCTCTTTCTTGATTCCCTTTCTCATTTTGGTGGAGTTCCTTCTCCTGTGGTAGCTTTTCCCCCCTTTGGTTAAATATACATGGCACAAATTTTACCATTTTACTCACAGTTAAGTGTGCATTTCAGTGACGTTGTACATTCAACATTATTCTGCAGAAGTCACTAATATTCTTTTTTAAAACCTTTTCATCATCCCAAATGTAAACTCTCTGCCCATTAAAGCACAATTCTCCATTCTACGTGTCCTGGTAACCATCATTATTCTTCTGTCTCTATATATTTAACTATGCTGGGTACATCTATAAGTGGAAACAAAGTATTTGTCTTTTCTCTAGTGCCTTTTTAAGAAAGGGTGTATGAGAAGTACACTTGGAACAGGGGACAGAGACCCTCCGCAGATGCCTGAAACCATGGGTGGTACTGAACCCTATATATGCAATACAATATTTTTTCTTATATGTCCTGCAGTGTTGCCAGATAGTACCAGAGTTAATCTGTCCTGCATGTTTTTTCACCTACTCATCCTTTGCATCACTACTCTTGCAATTTGTTTTTTTTTTTTTTTTTTTTAATTTTTTATTGTTGGCTGTTCAAAACATTACATAGTTCTTGATACATCATATTTCACAATTTGATTCAAGTGGGTTATGAGCTCCCATTTTTACCCCATATACAGATTGCAGAATCACATCAGTTACACATCCATTGATTACTCTTGCAATTTGGACCATTATAAGTAAAATACATGTTACTTGAACACAAGCACTGTGATATTGCAGCAGTTGATACAATAACCAAGATGGCTACTAGGTGACTAACTGGTGGATTGCAGATGGACACGCTGGAGAAAGGGATGATTTGCTTCCCAGGTAGGACAGAGCAGTATGTGATGAGATCTCATCAAGCTATTTGGGGTGGTAGACAATTTAAAACTTATGAATAGTTTGTTTCTGGAATTTTCCACAAAATAATTTCAAACCCTGGTTGATCATGGGCAGCTGAAACCATGGAAAGCAAAACCACAGATAGGGGGCTATTGTATATTTTGAAACATGCATATCTAAAAATACTCTATTTGCCTTCTCATTTATGAATAACTTGCCTACGAACATAATTCTGAGTTGGGTGTATTTTAGTTTTGAAGGTGCTCGTTCAGTATGATGTCCCAGTAGGGATCCTGGATCTGCAGCTTCATTGCCTGGTTCAAAGTTCAGCTCTGCCATTTGCTATGTGTGTTGTATTGGGCAAGATGCTTTGCCCCTTTGGAACTCAAGATTTGTCTTCTGTGAAGTGCAGATTAATAGTAGTACCTAATTCACTGGTTGTTGTGTAAACAAATTATAAAGCACTTACAACAGTGCATGGCACATAGTTCAAGGCTTCCCTGAGTCTTAGCTCTATCACTTTCCAACTTCTAGTGCTGCTGTGTCCCTTCCTGTCCCTTCCTTTTTTTTCTTTTGGAGTAGCTGGGATTTACAGGTATATACTACCATGCCCCACTGTGTCCTTTATTTTCGTATATTTTTGTCTACATGTTTTATCCTTTGGTCATTTTGCCATATACTTAATGCCCAAGAGCTCTGCCTTGTTCTCATTTCCTTAAAAACAAATAAACAAACAAAAAAGCAAACAATAGGCTGTTCTTGGGTGTCTATCTTCTATCTCTGAGAATTCCAATGGGGGGAAAAACAAGACAAAAACTTGTTTTTCTTTTCCTTCATATCCTTGTTTCCTCCATATTGCTTTTTTTTTCTGTTTACTTTTACATCTATCTTTAATATTAGAATCTTTCTTCTAACATCTGGCCATTCTTGGCTATACGGGGCAGAAAAAAATAAAAGCTCATTGGAAGCACGTGTACATGGATAGGGCTTGTCAATTATAGGTTTTGGCACAGGGTGACAGGAGCCCCTCATGTCTATACCTTTGTCTTTTCTCTTTGGCAGTCAGATTCACCAGAGAAGAATCTTGCAATCTCTTCTCTGGAGATGTGTGTCAGGATGTCAGCCTGCTGGAGAAGAGGGCTTGGGCAGCATGTAAATTGTCATTTAACCCTCCTGATGCAGTTAACTTCTCCTGAGACTAAACCTGGAGTGTTTTTCTGGGGTGAGGAAGTCACCCAGCTGTAATGACTTTGGGAAGACGTCTAATGCTGCTTTAATAGTCATCCTGCTGTAGCTATTTTCTTGTTCTTGTTCCTAGTTCTGCTGTGTAAACTGAGGTTCTTTCCAGTGGAACTATCAACAGTGGAGAATAATAATAATAATAATAATAATAATAATAATAATTCTATTTTTATCAAAAAGGGAGCTTTTGTCCATATTCCACATTACAATTTCCCCTTTATTCGTTGAATACATTTTTCCATGTTAATAAAAAATAGTCTCTGGCCAGAAGTGGTGGCCTATGCCTGTAATTCCAGTGACTTCAGAGGCTGAGGCAGGAGGATGGCAAGTTCAAAGCCAGTCTCAGCAATTTAGCAAGACCCTAAGCAACTGTGAGACGCTGGCTCAAAAGTTTAAAAAAGGTCTGGGCATGTAGCTCAGTGGTTAAGTATCCCTGGGTTCAATTTCCCCTATCAAAAAGAAAGAAAGAAAAAAGTCTCTGAAATATAGTATCCCTATTTCAATATAAATGTTATAATTTCTTGGACCAACTTTTTACAACTGGATAAATTTGGGTTATTTCCAAATTCTTTATAAGCAACAGTGCATTGAACATCTTTGTTGCAAAATTTCTGTTTACATCTTTATTTCCTCAACTACAATTCAGAGTTACTTTTTTTTTTTTTTTGTGATGCTGGAAATTGAATCCTGGGCCTTAGTACGTGCAAGGCAAACACTCTACCAACTGAGCTATATCCCAGGCCCCCAATTCAGTGCTGCTACTAATGATACTACTTGTGACAGCTCACTAATCCTGTGAGATGCTCTATGAAATAAAATTTCTGCAAACATACTTTTGGGAGTCCTGTGATTCTGCGTGGTTTTGGAAATCATTTTTTAAAACTCCACATATTCTTCTGTGCTGCAGTTCAGTTTGGAAGCCACCATGTGCAGACTCAGCTTGCATTTTACCCAAGGAATGCTGTGCTGATCAAGGCCTGAGGGAAGTAGTGCAAGAAAAATCCACAGGGCAGGGGGTGTCTGGCTCAGTGACAAATAGCCCAAGATTAATAGAAAGCACACAGCATAATCCACCGAATTTACAATCATGATGTGCTTAGAGTATTATACAGTAGGAAGAAATGTTTTGGCATAATGTCTTTTAAAAAATCACAATACTCTGAAATAAGGCACATTTGTTTGGAAACCAAACTTCTTAGCGTACATTTTTTTTTTTTTTTTTAAAAAAGACTGTCCGAACAGTGCTGAGTTTTGAGGGAAGGCTCCAGATGGAAAAACAAACACCATTCAGCAAAGTCAAATAAAGGGCCAAGTCTAATAATTCTGAAACTTATTATAGTGAAATCTCACAAGGCAAGCTTGTTAAAATGTGAGTTTCTGGGTCTCAATCTGCTTAGTCTAACTTCTCTGCTATAGTCCAGGCCTTAAATTCTGAACCTATACCAAGGACTCCCCAGAAATCTGATGTCAGAGGCCCTGGACCACAACTTGGGAAATTAGTTCAGAGGGTGTTTTGCCAAAAATTACCAGAGTTCCTTGAATTCACTGGTAATTTCTCTAGAATTCCCTGGTTACCTGTCCGTGGATAGCAGGGATAAGGCTGAGAGGTCTTTTTGTTGGTGGTTTGTTTTGTTTTTTGAGACAAGGTCTCCCTAAGTTTCCAGGCTATCTTCAAACTCGGAATTCTCCTGCCTCAGCCTCCCCAGTGGCTGGGATTCCAAGCAGGAGCCACAACCTCTGGCCTGAGAACAGCTTTTAATTATCAAGCAGGGCACCAAGCCCAGAAGATGGGCTCTGTGACCCACAAACTTCTGGGATGGTAGGGTTCTCAAACATCCTTTCTGGTCTCTTTCCTTGGGGCAAATTTCATGTAACCCTTTCAGAAAGCAGGGGCTGTCAGGCTGAAGGCTATAAAAAGCCTGGGGATGGGCTTTTAAAATCTGTAATTAGGGAAAATGAGAAAACAGGCTGGCTCTGCTCTTTGGCTCAAGGAACAGGAACCGGACACTTAGCATTTAGAAGCATATTTTTGTGGGATCCCTGTTCCTCTGTGAGCCCTGATGCCCTGACTTTCTGCCCCCTAACACTCCTCCTTCTGATGCCCTTTTCCCTACTTTGACTAATTCTGGAGTCTAATTAGAGACACAAATACTCAAAATCTTTGACCCAAACACATAGGCAGAGCCCTCAACCTAGAGAGTTCGGGTTCAGCCCATGGGGGTGTGGGGTGGGGGGAGTGCGCTTTCAGCTGTCATGAATTCAGGGGGCACAGTTCTTGCTGCAAAATAGTCCAACCACCTCCCACTTCTGCCCCTTCAGGCCACCGGTTGCAGAGAGGAGTGCTGGTCTCCGGGATCAAAGGTCGCGGATAACGAAGCTCCCTGGGCTCTGCGCCAGGCGCCCCCGCCCAGCTCCCGAGATCCGAGTCCGGGGACAGACGGGGAGCTTCGGCAGCGCGGAGCGCTGGGCTGCCAGGAACGCCACGTCACTCGCGACCTGACCTTACCGGCCCGCCCTGTCCCCGGAGGCGCGAGCGACTTGGGCCGCTGAGGGTAAGCGCTGCCGGGCCCCCAGGCTTTCTGGAACCTGGCACCAGCCCGCGGGGCGATTGCCAGAAATCGGGGCTCCTACTGTGACCCCACGTGCCTGGGGCGCAGGCTGCAGTGTCAGAGCCGCCAGGTTTCAAGTTCAGATCGGAGGCGACCTTGCGCCTCCCCAGCCCACCCCATTTTCGGATCTGGAAAGAGCTGTGGTCTTGGGGCGGAGGTGGTGGTGGTGGGAGGTCACGCAGTGTGCGTGGACACCGCTCCTGCATGACAGAGGGCGGAAATGTCCCTTGTCCCCAGCCTCACTTGGTGCCCTTTTAGGCCTTGCACGAGCTGCCCACTTTCTCCTTTGCCTCTAGAAAACACACCGGAAGGGGGAGCTTTGGGTCAACAGGAGGCTTTTCTGTCCCGAGAAAGGCCCGCCTTCCGTGCACCTGGTTTTAATAAGGGCCTGGGGAGAAATATGGCCAGGGGCCTGAAGGATCCCCAAGAACTTCTGTCCATAGAGAGAAAGAAGGGTGCACGTGGGCCGTACGTGCGCAGACGCATTCCCTGTACAAAGGCTTGTAAAGCCTCGTGCACTTTTCAAGTTTAATTGTAGCCTGGAGAGGATGTAAGTTGTAGTGATGTTAGAAATGGGATATAAATAGCAGTTAAAAACACATTTATTAAAATTGAGGACAAGGAGACTGCACAGTTGTGCACAATGTATTCTTTTCTTCCCAGTTTTAATCACACACACAAAAAAGGAATATAGAAAAACAATTGCGGCTCCTTCCTATACTCCCACCTCCTTAATCCATGGGCACACATATTTTTACATAGTTGCAATTAGAAGTACACCGCGTTCTCTTTCTGGAACAAGGGAGGTAAATTACACCCCACAGGGGAAGTGTTCATTAGTTCTAAGGAAAAGATCTCAATACATGAACTGGAAGTTTAAGATTGTATCAGGCTTTCAACCTATATTATAAAAGTTTAAAGGATAAAAGACATGAAAGGCTTTCTAAAAAGACCCTTATGAGACATGTAAATATATATTCACGCACATTCTTATTGCATCTTTGTCTAAAGCCAAGGGGAGATTTCTTTCCAATGTAGCCCTTTGATCTTTACAATCTTAAAAAAAAAATTACTCTTACTCTACCTTGTACTAGAATTTTGGGAACATGAAGTTTTCATGAAAACCTATTTAAACCCTTAATCAGCGTTTAAGCTGAGATCTCAGGGTCTTGTGCTTCTGTTCCCTTTGTCTAGAATGCTTTTCCCTGGCCTTTGAATTGCTTCCTCCTCCATATTCAGATCTCAGCTCAAATGTCAACTTCCCTGACATCTGTGCAATGACAGTGTTTTATTTTCTTCAAAGCACCAGCCATGATTGGAGATAACCTTGGTTTGATTATTGCCATTGTCCCATCCCCTCGGAAACATAAGCTCCAGGAGAATAGGGGTCTTGCTGTTTTTTCTTGCTATTGTTTTCTAGAACCATACCAGCTCTTCCACACTGCCAGTGTCCACCAGGACTAGCATTTCAGTAAACACTAAAATAATAATAATAAAGTTCACAAAATCACATGTGACCCTTGAGGAACCATCTTTAGTTCCCCCATGCCCCACTCCCTGCCTTTTCCCAGAGTGCCTTGGGCATGAGATTGCTCTCTGATCTGCTGGCCCATCTTAGGGTCCTACCCACAGCGTCCAGGCCAGTTATAGGAATTAGGCCGCGGAGACAGTTGGAGCGCAGGCAATGTCTGTTGGATGGGGTTTTTGAACTAGAAAGCAACTGGGACTGTCCCTTGGGGACTGGACTGCTGGCCACACAAACCCTCTGACCCTTTAGCACCTTCTAGTGCTTGGCTGCCTGTGTGAGGTTCTAAGGTTTGTGCATTGTGGGAGCTGCTTGAGAAAGATGCTCTGTTTATGTTGGCCTCCAAGGACAGGGAATAATTATGGGAGTGACAGGCTGCTCAAGTCGAGGGCTTTCCACCAGACTGCTCTCTGGACTGCTTGCAGGCAAAGGCCATGGATTCCCGTGGACTCCTGTGTGGTTCCTTAGAGCCATGTCTCAGAGGAAGCCTCGGTGAGGAAGAGCCTGGGGTGGGGACAGAAAAGTTTTGAATTTTCCTGTGGCTCCTTGGGAGTTGATGGTTGTTGAGGACCTCAGAACAATACTGGAGTGAAGTGTCCTGTTTGCCTTTCTTCAAGGCCGCACAGGGCTCCAAAGTTCTCAAAGGCTCCATGGTCAGAGTCTGCATGGACGGTAGTGAATGAATGTTCTCTCCTATGCATTATAAACAGCATTTGGTAGAATGAAGACCACTGAGTCAATCACTTATGCCACCAATCTTATTCTTTTACCTTATCAGGGAAGCACCATTATCACTTCCAATTCACAGATGAAGAAACTGAGGCTGAATAACTTGCTGAAGATCTGTGCTGTCAAATAGTGGAGCCAGGATTCAAATCAGAACCTGTGTTTTTAATTACTACTAATGGCATTTCTTAGGTGTCACTGATATAACTTGTCATACTTGAGCTTAAAATAAATGAGCCGGGTGTGTTGGCACATGTCTGTAATTCCAGCAGCTTGGGAGGCTGAGGCAGGAAAATCACGAGTTCAAAGCCAGCCTCAGCAAAAGCAAGGCACTAAGCAACTCATTGAGACCCTGTCTCCAAATAAAATACAAAATAGGGCTGGAGATATGATTCAGTGGCCAAGTACCCCTGAGTTCCATCCCTGGTACCTGCTCTGAAATTCATTGCCTTGCCAATGTACTAACATAAAATGCATACTTTTGATGTTTCTCTGTGAATTAGAATTTTTCTCTGTTGTATGAAACCATGACAGAAATAATAAATATTACAATATAGGAGTGGCTGCAAATTCCACTCCCAACCCTCTACTTTATATTTTATATTTATCAAAACAGCCTACTATTCTCAGTAGTTCACTTAATAATAAGAAATACTATACAGTTTAATTTAAAATAAATGTATATAAAATGAGGTGCCACCTATGTGTACATATTATAATCTGTGTATAAGACAAAATCATTAGCAAAAAGGATCTGGGGTGCAAGAAAGAGAAAATTGACTATCACTGTCATGAGAATATAATTGAAGTTTGGGAATTTGATGGTGTATACACAGGGCTAAATGTTATTCCTTAATTCAACAGATATGTATGGAATGATTTTTATGTATAAAGCATTGTGTTAGATCCTCACATAAACTACAGAGACAAGGCAGGTTGATATTCAAGGCTATAATACTTTAGTGACATTAATAAACAACCCACTGTATTGAAACCCTCAACACTAATCAAAGCTTATTTTATGAAGAATCATGCGATTCCTGAGGAATTAAAAAAAAAAGCTCAATCACTTTATGAATTAGCATTTGAGTCTGGTGCGTGGTGCATACCTGTAATACCAGTGGCTCAGGAGGCTGAGGCAGGAGAATCATGAGTTCAAACCCAGCCTCAGCAACTTAGTAAGGCCCTAAGCAACCCAATGTGACCCTGTTTCTAAATAAGATTTAAAAAAGGGCTGAATTCACAGTCTTGCTAACTGGCAGAATGCGTTGAGAGAGGGAGAAACAACAACAACAACAACAAAAGCTCTTAAGATTTCAAGATTGGGTGGTACTGAAAAGAATTGACAGCAAGGGCTTGGATTGTGGCTCAGTGGTAGAGCATTGCCTAGCACCAGTGAGGCAATGGGTTCAATCCTCAGCACCACATAAAAAAATAAAATGAAAATAAAGATATTCTGTCTATCTACAACTAAAAAAAAATTTAAAAAAATATAGACAAACAAGGGGCTGGGGTTGTGGCTCAGTGGCAGAGCATTTGCCTAGCATGTGTAGGTCACTGGGTTCAATCCTTAACACCACATAAAAATGGGTAAAATAAAAGATATTGTGTCTATCTACAACTGAAAAATAGAAAAAGTCTTTTTTTTTAAACAAATAGACATTAAGAGGCAGAGGAGCTAGGCACATACCAACAGAAAAATAGACACATACCAGCTTCACACCACTGGGTGTGAAGCTGAGAAAGTTGGGATTCCAGTTTCTGTGCTGCAGGACTTTTCTGAGCCTTTGGAGAGAATGCACCATATGGCACTTCCCAGGTGACTGTAGAAGTCCCTGTTCATTCCTCCCCAGGCATTTCTTGGGTCTGACTTTGGAAATGTATCCACAGACCAGGTCTACAAGTAAAAGGAAAGCGGAACCCTTTGCATCTGCAGGTTGTCATCTTCAGCGACATCAGTTCTACGCTGTAGTCAAGAAACACGTCCTAGGAAGACCTAAGCTGAGGACACTTAGTTTTGGGACCAGATTAGTTTGTATCTGTCCATGTCTTCCAGCAGCTGCTCTCAGCCCCATTTCATGGTGCCTTGGATTGATGGGGACTAATCAAGGTTGAAAGGAATATGAGTGAGAATTGCGTACTCGGGCCTGCAGGTTGGGGTGTGACCGAGACTTGTTTCTTCCTGAGGATTCTGTGCTCCTCTTTCCAAGGCCCTGTTTCTGTTGCTGGAGCTCCACTGCTGCTCTTGTTTGGATGCTGTTTCCTTTAGATCCGGGTCCTTCTGTTATGAAACACCATGTATATTACTTAACTCTAGATCATCCAAATGGACTCATTTCTAGGACTATGCAAGCTCTCCACGTGACACTTAATGACATGATTTCACTTACATCAATGCCTGCTCTTATCAGAAAGGCATCCTTGTGATCTTTGAAAAACACATGGCAAAAATACATAAAACTTTCCATTTAAGCCATTTTTAGGTGTGTGCACAGTGACATTGAGGATGTTTATGTTGATGTGTCCCCATCACCAGGTCCAACTCCAAGATTCCTTTCATTTTGCAAAACTGACATTCCAGACCAGTTAAACAGTAACTCCCCTTCACCTTCTCCCTCTGGTGCCTGTCAACCACCATTCTTTCTCTGTATGAATCTGACTAGCCTAGATATCTCATATAAGTAGAATCATA